CTTCAACTGTCTCGTGTCCATCGTCTGTCTCTTCAACAGTCCCATGTCCATCGTCTGTCTCTTCAACTGTCTCGTGTCCATCGTCTGTCTCTTCAGCTGCTTTAAGACTCTCCTCACACTCTCCTCACCCTCGCCTCACACTCGGCCGTTAGGGAGCGTAAAATGTAAAGATTCATTTTGAGCTGTTGTCCCACTCTTCATTAACACTGTCCACCTGGAGGCGCTAGAGAGATATTTAACTCCACTAACCCCAGAAAACTTCATTTCCCATCAGTCTCAGTTATCACTGAACACTAGAACTTCACGTTCCATCAGAATGTTTCAGTTGAAAGCAACAAGGAGAGCTGCAGATGAATAATGAGAGGATGAATCATTTTCGGCAAACACAAAGTACATCAATTAAATGAAAACACCAAGCAAGAATACAAAATCATTAAAGCGTGTATATGTTATTTAGGAGTACTGTCCTCTTCAGTGCTGCTAATCCTGATTATTTCTGCTTCGAGGAGCGTGTATGTGCAGTGATTGATGGGAAATTAAGGACGACCTTTACACTGAGTACCCAGCAGCTGTAGACCGTGGCTGAACTGGAGACATCTCATTAAAGTCGAGCTCCTGTGGACCGCTGATTTCAGCTGATTGAGAATATAAATCACACAAACATCCACTACACAGTAATGAAAGATAAAAAGATGAGAAGCAGCTAAATCCCTGCAGGGAGGTTACAGTGTTGTTGTTGCTGCAGATGATCATTAGATTTGAATAGAGAAGAGACGACTGTGATAAAGGTTAAGAATTAGAAGAACCCGTTAATAAAAGAAGCTGAAAAACAGATAATTCTGTGGAATTAATTCACCCAGAGTAACTGAAGTGGAAAATCAGAAAACAGATGTTAAACTTAGAAAGTAAGTAACAAAGTGTACATGTATGTGTACATGTAAAGAACATGTATGTGTACATGTATGTGTACATGTAAAGAACATGTATGTATATTTAAGATACTTTGTGATTAGCCATACTTCAGAGAGATATTTAAAAATTCGAATCAATAATTTGCTGCTAATTGATGCGTCACATTTACACGAGATCTTCACCGCTCTCATATTTCTTTACAGATCTTCCAAAATGTTTTCAAGTCTACGTAGAAAGTAGAAGATAATTCAAAACTGTGAATGAGACAGTAAAGTGCAGATATTCTGTGTTAACCTGACCTTTATACGGGCAGATATCCAGGTCAGCTGATATCCAAGTCAGCTAATATCCAGGTCAGCTGATATCCAAGTCAGCTAATATCCAGGTCAGCTGATATCCAGGTCAGCTAATATCCAGGTCAGCTGATATCCAAGTCAGCTGATATCCAGGTCAGCTGATATCCAGGTCAGCTGATATCCAAGTCAGCTGATATCCAAGTCAGCTGATATCCAAGTCAGCTGATATCCAGGTCAGCTGATATCCAGGTCAGCTGATATCCAGGTCAGCTGATATCCAAGTCAGCTGATATCCAGGTCAGCTGATATCCAGGTCAGCTGATCCCTGTCTTTATGCTAAGATGAGCAAATTGGCTGTAGTTTCACATCTATTATAAAAACATGATTCTGATGAGATTCTGATCTGAATCAGATTTGGTTGATCAGTCGGTACCTCACTGTTCCTTTAACTGCAGGGATCTTATGTTTTTGTGGTTATTTCTACATGATTGTGATGATGATGAGAAATGATCATTGTTGGATTTGTTGCCCTTTATCTCAACATGTCTTTGTGCTTGATGTATTTATTGAACAGATAAAGAGGTGAATCATGGAAAAGACCCAGAGAGCACAACTAAGAAGATTCCAATCACTGAAGAAGAGATGGACGGCAAACACAAGGAGAGAAAACTGGAGGAAGAGGAGGAGGAGGAGGAGGAGGAGGAGGAGGGACAGTACAAAAACCCCTGCAGACGCATGAAGAAGAGTCACCCAGTCAGACACAGGAGGAGGAGAGTCGAGGAAACCCCGTCTGAGCCGAGTGTGGACAGTGACGGACAGCGGGGGGGCGATGGTGAAACAGACAATAAAGGGACGACAGTCCGACCGTCCCACTGTCACTCTGACTCCAGAGGCCTCTCTGCACCGCCTCATGTCCGCTGCAGCTCCCGTCTGGCTGCAAAACCACGACGGGTTCACTGTCAGACCGGCCGGGTGAAGCCCCCCCCTGCCCCCCCCGACCCACCCAAACACACCGAGGGACAGAGGCGGAGCTACGCAGGGGGCGCCAGGTGCATCCCAGATAAGGTGATTTCCATAAAGACGTCACACCCTGAAGCCGAGACCGTCGCAGCAGCTTCGACGTGGCAGCCGGAGATCAGAGAGAGACGCTACAGATGTTCCAGCTGTGGTAAAAAGTTCTACCAGCTCAGCCACTTGAAGAAACATCAGTTCAGTCACACAGAGCAGAAACCGTTCAGCTGCCCAGAGTGTGGGAAAAACTACACGTCGGCAGAGAGCTTCAGAGCCCATCAGGTAGAGCAGACCTCTCTCTGGAAGACCTGATGTCAGGGCTGCAGCACACTCGTATCGAGCGTCACGGAGGAAAGTGTTCTGGCACAATCTGTCGTAAATCCTTCACTGACCAGTCAGCAGGTGTAGAGTCCCAGCGTAATACTGCCAGGGTCTAGAAGCAGGGTCTAGAAGCAGGGTCTAGAAGCAGGGTCTAGAATCTAGAAGCAGGATGTAGAAGCAGGATGTAGAATCCAGAAGCAGGATCTAGAAGCAGGGTCTAGGATCTAGAAGCAGGATGTAGAA